ACCCCGAAAGCATTTGTTATTGTCAAACAATTACGGTTTGCTGTTTGGTAAGTCGAGTGTGTTTGATTAAGGGTAGAAATGAAAATTTCAGTTTCAACGGTTGGTTGTAAATCAGAAGAATTGATTGCTTGTCAAAAGTCCTTACAATTTTAAATTAAGCCCATATTTGGCCTCCATCCCCTCTCTCATTCTCATTTTTTTCTTTTATATTGTGTTTGATATGTGTCATTTTCCCTAGAAAATGGAAAGACTTTTCCAATTTCAACTTTTTGGTGTGTTTGATGGCTTCACTTTTCACCAGAATTGGTTTCCACCCCAGCCCACTGACGCGCCAGTTTTCCGTGCGTGGAAGGAATAGCTTTTCTTTTGGGTTGATTAGTTTTTCATTTTCCAGGTTTCATTTTTTTTTATTTTTTTATTTTTTTGGGAATTGAAAAAAAATCTAGACACAGTGGTAAAAAAATCTGGAATGATATTCGTTATGATAAATTTTTCTAATTTAATTTTTTTTTTAATTAGAACAAATTCTAAACTCCATGGTAGAAAAAATTATCACTTTAAATAACAATTTTCATAAAAAACGAAACCAAACGGATATCAAACTTTCAACATTTTCCAGGTGGAAAATTATACCAATCAAACACAATTAATTACAATTCCCAGTAAAACAAATTTTATGCAATTCAATTTCCAGTAAAACATTTTCTTTCCACCCTTGCAATCAAACGGACCATTATTTCATTTCAACCACACATTCTTCTAATAAAATAATATTACACACAAATCTAAAATTTTCATAACTTTTTCACAACACATTCTCCCATCAATCACTGTTCTAAAAAATTTTATCTTCAAAAAATAGGTGTCAAACACACCCTAATATATTATTGTTTGAGAAATTAAAACGCATTAAAGTGGAAATTTTAAGGCTGTCAAACAGGGGCTAAGCATAAGTTCCCTCTAAATAGAAGAAAATAGTGATGGCAATGGGCCGAGCCGAGCGTTGCCCCACGAGCTCGGCTCGTTGCCCTACGAGCCGAGCTCGTGGCTCGTTACAAAACGAGCCGAGCTTCTGCT